AATCACAGTTGATGGTACCAATAGAGAGAGGAAATAGGAAGATAGAACACATGCCAGTCGATCGATAATCGATCCTGACAGGCAACAAAGGAAGCATCGATACCCAGACATTTAAACTACAGCTTACCTCATCTATTACTCAGACCTATACAAAAACTTTGTTCCTGTGATTTCAAGAGGCAAGCGAAAAGGTCCATGAGATAGACTGCGCAACTGACTTAGCTGGATGGGGGAGGGGGGGGGGAAGAGGAGAGTCACGCCTTTTTCAAAAGGCTATGGCTAAGACCGCAAACGACCATAGTCGCCAGAAGAGGTTATTCAGAGAAAAGACATAGTAAGCCTAAGGCTCCGTTGGGGGAACTACGGAGGTGCTGGCGAAAGGCTCTCCCTCTCTCTCGCTCTCTCCCCGAACTTCATCAGCGCCCAGACTGCTTCAGAAAATCTTAGTCGGCAAAGTGTGATTAGTTCTCTTTTACAATACTTTACATAACTGTGCAACCCAGAAAAGCCGAGTGAGATGTGAACAAAATAGTATAGAAATCTGAGGCAAATTAACAATGTCACAAGATGACGTGCCATATGAGCGAGAACAACAGTAGGACGGCTGATCGACATCGATTCATGGGCTGCAGCATTTATAGCCGTTCTGTGATGATTCACTGCGATGACTTTACTCAGCGTGGAATTGGTTTTCCTAAAAAATTGTCACTTAGAAATACATTTCACGATTGCAATACGTTCGTGTGATGACTGACTCGTCAGGAAAGGAAGGAGCAACAGAAACCGGCGATAGTTCCCTCCCCCCATCCATAATAAAACCGTGCGTTTCCTAAGTGATGTGGTAGGAGCAAGCGGTGAGGAAACAGTAGGTACTCTACGAGAAACCGGATCATGAAGGAAAGACGACAGCGTGAACAAACGAGAGAGATCGCTATTCTCTGTGTGACATTTGCAGAGAGCGTCCCTTACAATGAAGGGGCGTGGACAGCCCTGAGTCGCAAGCCCTGGAGCCCTTACTAGGGAGGTCGTTCAGGACGTGGAGCGCTTTTTGAAAACGGTTTTTTGCATGATGTGGGGTCACGTGCATGGAGTACCAAACTGGTGTTCATTTTTCCTGAACGCCTCTGGGAATGCCAAAAATGGAGTGAAAAAAAGTCCATGGAAACCGACTGTTATTGAGCCTGAATGGGCTCTAAATCACTCGCAAGTTCGGCCAGTTGCTGCCTATAGGGTCCTTATAAAGGTTGTACTGGTATCTATGAGAAAAGTGGTCGTCAATGGGGTCTTACTTGTGGCACGTAGTTAAGAGTCGACGGCCAATTCGAATGGGCTCTTAAGCAATCGAAGTGGTGCCTGTGCCAACGATCGGATGGCCTAGTGGATAGCGTGGAGGATTCTCAAGCAGACAGTGGGGATGGGGGATGATGGTTCGACTCCCCTCGGCTTGCACGTTTTTGCATTTTTTATTTTCCGTTGTTGTCGCTTCCATATACGTCTGTTAATGAATTTTACTCGGATATCTGCCATTTATAGGCACATCCTAAATAGTTATAGCCCGTAGTCGGTGCTATTCAGCAATTTCGATTTCACATACCATTAAGCAAGAACTTGTCTGAAAGCTGAGCTTATGTTATTCGGTGCCCTGATCATGACTATGGCATTTACTTTCAGCTCTAGTGCCATTTATCTCCAATTTGGAGCCACGTCTTTCTCCCACTGGAGTCGCTATGTACATTCGTTTGAGGGACTTGCAGGGCCATTCTGACGCCAGATTGGATTGACGTCAAGAATAAGTGTCAGAATCGTGATCAGGACCATCGATTACCCCTATAGGCAAACTTTCAGCCAAAAAATTTTTTTTGACTTTTTTGAGTCTGTGCATTGGGTTATGCTCAAGAGTCACTTTGTTGAAGTCGTACTTTTGCTGGTTATCGAAACCCTCATTCAGTGGTACGGAAACAAAAAACTAGCAACAACCATAAACGCCATCGAAAAAAAGAACAAAATAGTCATCATTCCTCCAGGTGCATTTGAAAAAGTGAAGAAATCGGATGAGTCTCTCCTCTTGGTAGGGGAGGACGACATCTTCGTTGAGCGAGCCGTCGCGGGGGTCGACAAATGTCCAGGATGGTTTTTCACTTGTTCTGCGGCCACCCATGCCCATGCCAAGTATGAATGGACCTTATGAGCACCAAATCCGCGATGCGGCTGCCCGGCGGCCCACCACGTCATCGCTACGTCATCGCAGCTCCAAAGTTGTGGGTCTCCGGTCATCACTGTCGACCAAATGGTCGGTCTATCACAACTCAAAAAAGTCAAAAAAATTTTTTGGCCGAAAGTTTGCCTATAGGGGTAATCGATGGTCCTGATCACGATTCTGACACTTATTCTTGACATCAACCCAATCTGGCGTCAGAATGGCCCTGCAAGTCCCTCAAACGAATGTACATAGCGACTCCAGTGGGAGAAAGACTTGGCTCCAAATTGGGGACTACGTGCCACAAGTAGGACCCCATTGGCGACTACTTTTCTCATCGATACCAGTACCTTTATAAGGACCCTATAGGCAGCAACTGGCCGAAGTTGCGAGTGATTTAGAGCCCATTCAGGCTCAAAAACAGTCGGTTTCCATGGACTTCTTTTTTCACTCCATTTTTGGCATTCCCAGAGGCGTTCAGGAAAAATGAACACCAGTTTGGTACTCCATGCACGTAACCCCACATCATGCAAAAAACCGTTTTCAAAAAGCGCTCCACGTCCTGAACGACCTCCCTAGTTAGACGCGTCCGAATGGCAAAAGTAGCACAACCACAGCGGACTTCCTTCACTCCGAACAAGGAAGGTATTGTACCCCTTAACTAGTCACTGACTAGTACATTTCACGATAACACATGCTGAGTTGTACGTCCAAATCAGAGGGTAAAAACGAGTCTTCCGGCGACGGACGCATATTTTCAGCGCGAACGCTAATCCTTTATAGATACGTCCCAGTTTCTGTTTTGTCTAGGCCCTCGCAGCCACGCCTCCTGCTGCTTCCAGATGAGGACTGCCCCCGTTCACCATAACAAAAGGAAAGGACTATATGTGAGCTGATCTCACCTAATCTAACTGGCATTTACTCAAGGCCATTGACGTTTTGAGGTCTGAACTCTTGGCCAGCAAGATTGACGATGCTGCCATAGGTGCATACGAGTCAGTGACTATCGGTGAATATTTTGGTACTGCCAATTCGATGAATAGTTGCAGTTATCTTTCATCTTCCACTCTTCTTTTCTAGAGGAAAGGCGTAAATAACTCCAATGATATTCTAGCCTCTAGCTGAGCGAAATTCGTTTTCAAAACCCACCAATTTCTGGTCCCCTTCGGAAAAGACTTGAGCACATAGCGGGGGGTGCATCATGCGTGACAAATATAAGAATTGTAGGTACCGCCGCACCTAACAACTGCTTCATGGTTTGTAATTTAACATGCTCGTGAGACCGCGGTAAAAAACCCTTTCACATGCAACGAGAAGCACAACCAAAATTCTATTTAATCTTTGCTTTTGTCTCTCTTTTCTTCAATTTGCTTTGCTTCATGACTGGAAGCTCCGTTTCATCCCAAAACTTAAAAAAAGATGATATTAGGTATGCTCCACGAATCTGCGTGTTATACTTGCGGCGTTGACCTCCCAATGGTCTAAACATGTCTGAAGACACCAGCAAAATACCAGACGCTACTATTAATCGAAGCGTGCCAAGATCTACTATGGTCCCTAGGTGTAGTTCAAGGTGACAGGATTTGCACACCATTCCACTTCCACGGATACCTTTGGAATGATCAATTTCTCAAAGAGTGATCCAAAGAAGTTGAAACCTTCAATGCAGACGAGTTTTTCAAGGCCAGGAGCTTACATCAAGCATGTCAAAGCAACTGATAAAACTTTCACAAATTTGTCATTCATTGTGACAACATCCATAGGTAGTTCCCAGAGGCCGGTTTTCCCTTACTATTAAGTCAACCCCTGAAGTTTAGTTGAGAGAGCAAATCTTAGGTGACACCCAGATATCAGACTTCTGTGTGGCTGCATATGAGACAGGCACGCTCCGGAAAACGGGGTGTGGACGGTTACTCCCGAGTTGCAGCAAGGCGGCCCAACTCGGCAGAATCGCACGAGGACCCAGTTCGCTCAACGTAGCGGTGCTGCGGTGAGTAGACTTCCATCTGTGTGTGCGTCCCTCAAGTCGATTAATTCTTTCCTTACTCGTGTCTGTCTAGTCAACCAGTTTGGAACACTCTGCTATGCGCGATGCCGCGACTCGGAAGTAACGCTCCACACTCCCAGAAGCTGAGACCACAGCGCTTCAAACGTTAAAACGTCTTACATTTCAATCGGAGACTGCACAACCAGTAGAAGGGTAGAGTGGCTGATTAGGACTACCGGTTACAGCAACAGCCTCAGGGTCAACCACGCTGTGCTCCCAACTTGCAAAATACGACGGCCGCATAAACTGTCATATAGCGGATTGTCATCAAACTGTCGCCTGGATTTTCCCTTCCTCGGGAGAGTTTAGGTGACAAAAGGAGAGATGAGCTTGTTCCCCACCCCCAGTCATAGATACCATCATCCGATAGTACTCAGTCTCATAGTACTAATACTCACAGTCAAAAGCTCTCTATAAGTATCATTCTCTATGTAAAAAAAGCAAAAAGGAGCCGAGCCGTATTTTCTTATGACAAACAAGGCACGAGGTGGCAGGCATGGCGTTACTTTTTGCAAAAGCGTTAGAAATGGTCCGCTGGCCGCATCGCTCACCATGGCTTCATCGCTAGCATTACCACAATTATCCATATTTGTGGAATTTTTTGAAAAAGTGTAATAGCGCTCTGGGTGGATAAAAAGGGTTATTATTGATAATAGATGTTCAAGTGGAAAAATCTTAAAAAAAATGGGGAAACTACTGCTGAATAGTCCAAAAGTAATACTGCAAGATTACTTGTACAAAACCAACCAAGGTAAATCATACCTGCTGAGTCGGGTTACCATTTCCAGTGCCATTGCATAGCATTTGCATATCGTTCGCGTCCAAGGTGATATGTGACAGATCGTTGAAGCACTCGAAATGAGAACCATTCGTTCCCTCGGGATTCGTCAGCACTAATCGAGGAATGTCTAATGACTCGGGTGAGTTTGAAAACGTTCTGAAAAAAAGCGAAATCACAAAGGAAACAAAAAATATGAAAAAATTACACTATTCTAATAACCCCACAGTAGGAGCTGCGAACACTTGGGAGGCTGCGATATTCAAGTGAGGCACTCTGACGATACGAATCTACTGCTCTTCATAAGGTGGTCTTACAAGCTCAGTACCCTTTAGTGCCCTGCGTCCTCTGTCAACCGTTTCAAGAATACAGCTCTCTATTCAATGGCAAGGCTTATAGGGCGTTGACAAGGCATTCACATATATACAGTTCATAAGATTTGGTACGCTAGTCAGTAATTGCGGCAAGAACAGCGAAGGATGCGTCATAAACGGGGTCAATCGCACCAGGATCCAGTACAGTAAACATTCTGCATTGTTCCAAGACAGCTAATTTTGAAATCCCTGTTAGTCTGCGCGCCCGGCCACGTCTCGAGGCTAATGACACACATGTATCGGGTTGCAGTAGCTCCACGTTGCGACGAAGGCGAAAACGTTGCAAGTGGTGTCATATGTGGCCTATGCGCACCACCGATTCATTTAACCGAGGAACCGTTGCAATATGCTGGGTCAACTGGCTAGGGGAAACTCTAATCAATTCTATCTCATGAGCCCGAGGTTCTTGCAACGCACCTCGAGCAAGTGCACTTTTCGACATCCATATCAGTAACCGATATGTTTACAGGATAGAGTACGACTGAATGAATCCTCACGACTTTGCTCGCTGAATGGCTTCGTCTATCACCTGTTACCTGTTCTCAGCGGTTACTCCAATCGATTCGGTAGAAGAACCACCGTCATCAGTGCGGAGGCTCTGCGGCAAAAGCTGGGAAATTAAGGTAGACGGACAGGCGCGAACCCGCACACACTTACCAGGGAAGTCCGCCTACTTACCATAGAACTTTGAAAGAAGACTGACTTTGGGTAGATCGATTGAGTCTATAGGTTTAACGATAGCAAAACTGCAACCTGCATTTCACAATCAACTTATGAGCAGGTAACGTATGTAATGGTGGGGTGGAGGCCTTGGGTGAGCTGTGAAGAATAAGCGGAGAATCGCATACGTCCAACGAGTCGTGCTGGTTCAGGGGTAAGGTTCGACGTTCGACGTTCGATTCGACGTGTGCGATTCCTCGCCTATGCCTCACAGGTCACCACGAAGCCTCCACCTTACGGCACCACTACAAACTTTATCTGCTCATAAGTTGCTTGTGAAATCCAGTTGCAGTCTGCTATCTATATTTGTGAATAATCTTATAGACTACCAGTCGGCTCGCCGGCTAACGCCGGAGCGCCTCTTCTCTGATACGGCCCGGCTGGGATGGGCGGGCGCGGCTTCGCCGCGCGTATTTTCTTCTACATATTTCTAGACTCAACTGATATCCGCCTTTTGTTCTGTACTCCACTTTTTTCCGGTGTCTGAAGTACTCTTGAGCTATTTTACAGATTCTTCGTCTGACTCCGCCCACCTCGGAGCAGGCCCCGCCCACAATGTTTGTGCCCTACAATCTTCACCGGCGACCCTCTGCTGACCTTAATCCGCTTTTTTCCGGTGTCTGGAGTGCTCTGAAACTATTTTACAGATTTTTCGTCTGACTCCGCCCACCTCAGAGCAGACCCCGCCCACAATTTTTGTGCCCCACAATCCTCACCGGCGACCCTCTGCTGACCTTAATCCACTTTTTCCGGTCTTTGAAGTGCTCTGGGACAGTTTTAGAGAATTTTCGTCTGGCTCCGCCCACCTCGGGCTGGCCCGCCCACAATATGTATACCCCACATTTCTCAATCGGCGACCCCTTGCTGACCTGAATTCACTTTATTTCCGGTCTTCGGAGTGCTTTTACTTTTACTGCTTTTAGGAACCGTTTTACAGACCTTTTGTCTGGCTCCACCCACCTCAGAGCAATGTTTTTGCCCCACAATCCTCACCGGCGACCCTCTGCTGACCTTAGTCCACTTTTTCCGGTGTCTGGAGTGTTCTGGAACCGAGCTACAAACTTTTAAAATGAATACCCTGCGATTTAGGGCAAGCTCCGCCCACTGTGGGCGGGTCTCAACACACTTTGAGCGTGCCCTATATTCGCCAGATATTTACATTCTACACTGAGTTTTTTGCGACTTCCAAACACTCTCGCGAACCGGGTTACTGAATTTTGCGAGAAGCACCGCCCACCTTGAGTACGCCCCGCCCATTTTGGATGTGTCTGCCACAGTTAGTCTGGCGACTCCTTACTAACCTTATTCCCTTTTTCCCCCCATCTTTAAGCTGCTCCGGAAGCGAATTATGAACATTTTTCTGCGGAACCCCAAACTTTCGGCGAGTGCCCCGCCCACTGTGGGCGGGGCTTCCCATAGGTCAAGTGTGCTTTTTATTTCTTGTCCCATGCCCTACCCATCCCACCTTGACCCGACCTCTCCAAGTCGTTCTTCAGGTCGAACCGAATTTCCGGACAGACAAACTTACAAACAAACAAACAGACGAAGCGAATTATATATATGGGGTGATCGATCTACTCAGCTCTCCATTCAAATTTCCATGGTAAGTTGGAGGAATTCCCTGGCTGGTTAACTGACCTTTCACTCCCTCAAGATGCACTTCAGTCTGGGTCACACTTATGGTTAGCAAGCGCATCATTACACAAAGGAAACTATGCGATGAATGCATAAATAGAGGATGACATTATATGTCTTCTGGCATCATCCACATCAAAACACATACACACCCCCACCCGTGGAAAGTTGAACGCGCATCCACCACCACGCTGTAGAGCTTCTAAGCATTTGAAAAATGTAATCAGAAGGAATGAACGGCAAAATGAACGTTGCAGCGCGATGTGTGAAAAGGCGGTGTCACTGCGACTCTACCCCCTACTAAAACATTTCCTTTTATTGCAGTTCTCCCAACTCTCTCCACATTTTCGGGTTTTCCAGAAATCTTTCCGGTTTTTCCAAGGCGCGATACGACTCTTTCCTCAGGATGCTGTATCCTGAATCGCAGCCAGCAATCTTTATAAACAATGAGGTTGACGGAAACTGTGCTTCTTTCGTACTCCATGGACACGTCAAATTTACAGTCCGCGCACTCCAGCTGAACAAAAGAATAATACGAGAAAATTTCCGTTCAAGTTGCATAGTCTGGCTCCGTAGATAGAAATGCGCATTTTGATGGCTGTGCTGCCAACAAAAGTTGGCCTGATTGCGATCTCAACTGCCTTCATATGAGACGACATTTCTCCCGTCTGTCAGCACAAGAAGATTTATAATACCAGCCATAATAGCCATAATACCAGCCGTTTAATGAATGGACAAGTTAAAGCCTCTTTCCCTGCCGCCAGCTTGAACTCGGTGGACACTTTCGGCCAACTTCGTCATTTCCAAAGGCCGCCTGTTTCTTCACTGGATTTACCTCAGTGCCAGGCACATTTAGTACTCTAGTAAGCCTTATTCCTAGTAGTACACACTAAACACGACCGTCACCTCCGACCAGTTGTAGCATGTGACACGATTCCTCATTTCGGCGAAAAGAACACAGGAATTGCTCGTCAGTACCGCAGTACATAATTCGCAAGAAAGTCAGCCTAGTTTATGTATTAAGGTTGTTCGAAAAGTCCTGCGACACTTTGACCAAATTTTTCGGACTAAATTTTCTGTCACTAAAAGACATCTCCAATCTACAAGGTAACCGCAGTTGATGACTAGGACTAGTGCCCTTCTTTTGCACAGCTTCTCATTTCCATTCTCATAGAACTACGGCAACTATGATAAAAAGAAGAGGTGGACCTCATTCTCGAGTTGAGGTCGATTTTCGGAATTTTTGCCTTTTTGAGAGGATGCACGATTACGGAACCAAGGAGGTGGTAATTCATAGGCCGGCTAATGTTATAAATAACCTTAGTGACGGTCGCATTCTCTTGTTCTCGAAATCCATGATCTTTTGGCTCAGGCCTAATTCACACATTTAGCGGTGCTTCGCGTATTGTTCCGAGTAGTAGAGGAAAAAGTTGAGATTCTCTAATGAATTCAAGCGTGACGTCATCATATTTCTGAAAGTCGCATTAAGAAGAGACTGATGGCCCGTTCAACCGGTGCTAGTATCCAGTGATACCGCTCTGAAGTCCTACCACCCAGTCCTAACACACTGAAATCTTTATCCATGCACATCTGTTTTTGGCTAAGCAATCTACTTTTCTGTTTGAGAGATCCTGCGAGGGACATGTGCATGATGTACGCAAGGACTCCAACACTCGCTACCAACCACAGATCTCACAAAAAGTTCTTTCGCTGTGTGGACCAATGGAAGAAACTCAGTCACCGGGATCATTCGTTATGACTTGGTCAGAGGAGCTACGAAACTGATTGAAGCTATTCTTCATAAATCTTCCGAGAACCGGAGGATATGCGGAGAAGCATGGCTTTGTCGACGCTCAGTGCTGGATCCTAGAGAGAGTATTTGCCACTCACTGTGGTGGTTACCTCCAGACAGCGCCTCAGAAGCTGAGCTAATAGTGGCGTCATTTCTGCTACTGGTCGGGTGACTTACATTGCCTAACACTGAGTTAAATAAGTTCCGGCCTGGAAGCGGCTGATGCAAAGGTACCCTCTGACATGGCAAGCGGATATCCCTTTCCTCAGACCAAACCGTCAAGTGTCTTTAGCTTTCCTTTCGGACTACGGCGGAGTGGCCCTACAGGAACTCATAATATGGGATAGGTCGAAAAGTACCTCGATCTCTGGAGACTTTTAAGCTTTGAAAACTTCCACAAAGTCATGATATACCCATGTGCAGAAACCCCAGAGGACAATCTCCACTAATCAGGGATAAAAACATCCAAAATGATTTTTGGTCTTTTTCTAGAACAATTCAATCAAAGTGTCGCAGGACTTTTCGAACAACCTAATAGATTAAGCGTCGATGACCCTCTTCACCCAACATACTCTCCGAACAAGCTCATGAAACTATCACACTCCCAGATCACTGTAGAACAAGCAGCATTTGAATGCATGAATGTAGGATCCCCTGGATTCTTTCCAGACAGTCGCGCGTACCTTCAGAAGTGATCTACCACCTACCTACCCTACCGACTTTCTCCAACCCCACCAACTTTTCACAAATTTACGTTTTCCTTCAGAAACAGGTGTAACTGTTCTTAAGTGAAAGGGGAATGAAACGGGAATACCAGTAATTGACGAAAATTCCCGACCCTCACGAAAAGAAAATTCTCAAGGCACTTGGAATCCCTTTCCATCACTGAGTAAGCTACGACCCACGATGGGTCGGTTTTGGTATTGGTAGTAGTGACATCGACACGAAGGAGGACTTGCAAAAGCGGCTACGCTACAGCACTCACAACAGTTGTAAAAAAGAGAAAAGTTACCACTGACTCGAAAACTGCAATTACCCAAAGGCCCCTCAATGATACCAAAATGCCATATTCTCTTGGTATGGGTAGTTTCCATTTATCGTAATCTACCTTTCCACCACAGACTTTCGAATGACGAAAATAGCACATACTTGCGGCTTCACACCTGGGCGCTTCACGCAAAAACAAAAAACGATCCCATCCCTTAGGTTATTATGGAATGCGCAGTTCGCTCAGAAATGAAAGTCCACTTGGAAGAGGCAGCTGGTCAGTTTACTGAATCCGAGGCGAAAAAAATCAAATAAATGATTCTCCTCACCTGGTACCATGCCACTGAAGTTGTTGCGATGGATCAAGATTGTTTGCCGGTGAAGTAGGAGCCGATTGACTTTCAGGCGTCCGAGTTGATGGTGCAAGCCGTGGCGCACCTACAAGCGCGCCTCCTGTGCTATGACGTTGACCTACCGTTTGATGATAGAACGGTGGAGGTTGTTGATGTGGTGTCATCCCGTGATGCTGAAGATTCGGCAGACTACCAGCCTGAAAAGCAAAATTTTCACAGTTCAACACTCTCATGGTACCTCGCGCCATGAATGTTCCTCGTGAATGTACATAACAAGTAACTGGCCAGAACAACCTGATCCCATAAACACATTCCTGTTATTCCACAGCATGGTACAGCATTGTGATGTGTGAAATGGTGGTGTTAGTGTGGCTGCACCCCTACCGCGAAAACTCCCCAACCGAAAAAAATTTTTCCCAATGCAGCAAACTCCTCTCAAAGCCAACATGCGGCCTCCCTCTCCCAACAACGACCAAGTACGACCCTCCCCCTATGTGTTTCCCACAACGATGCTGTACCCTGTTCCACACACAGTGCTTGACGATACCTAATAAGAAACATGCGAGGAAGCATAATGTAACCGCGCTATAAGTAAGGAACGGCCGTATACGAGAACACTGCTGTATGTGTAAACTCAAGCATTACTCGTCTCGGAATGGGAATTTTGCACTTTCGCTTAATTCTTTTGCTAGTTCCCTACACGACTCGCCCAGGTGAGTCCTGTAAGCTCTTGTGGTCTTATAAGCTGTAAGTGCGAATGGAGCTCCTCGTACTGCATGGCTTTGCGAAAATACTGCTGCGATAAATGCACGTCCCCATGAAAACCTCGAAATCCGTTGAAGATGAGATCGTGTCTTTCGAAGTAATTAATCCGAAAATCTTTAACCAGGTTCATAAGAGGTTGAAGCTGAATGTTCTAAAGAATAAAAATACCAACCTCACTGCACGGATCATGCATGCCTGGCGGACTCAACTCCATCATCGGCGTTGTTCTTTCATCGAGTATCAGACTCGAGCCCATTGGTGAACCCATTGGCGACTGCATAGGGCTGCCATTCGGATACCTACGGAAAAAATCTGTAGGAAAATGCATGATCGGAAATATAAATATCTTTGAAACGAAGCACACCCTTCAAGATATTGCTTTGGTAGGGTACGTATACATTTTGAAGCGTAGGAAATTACAATTTTTCGGACTGTTGTCTCGATTGTAATAGGCGGAGGTTTTTAGTGGCGAACAGCATCATTAACCCCGCATGCGGTTCAGAGTTATATGATGGGAAAACAAAACTTCCATCCCTACGGGAAGAACAGTTAGTACCATGCTCGTCCGGGAGGAGAAACACTGACTAGTTCTCGCAAGCAGGGCACGTCCTGCTGTTGAGGGAAGTTGCTGCAAAATACGAGCCTCTCCCCAGAAATCTCACCTCTACAACCCTCTTCCTAAATGTTTCCAATTTCCCACGACTTTTCCGGAACTTCCAAAGGTCCCTCCATCGTTCCACCTTTTGCCCAGAGAACGGCCGTAGATCCGGAGGGGGTGGTGGTGCGATGATAGGAGTATACAGCGCACTCCAAAAAGGAAAACCCCAGAACATCATTCATTTCAGAGAACATTTTTCTCAAAGCCTCACAACGCTGTCTTCCGCGACCAGATGCGGACCCCCCCCCTTGCTGCGGATCCCTCAAGTACGACGTGCCCTGAAAACACTGGCTGGTCCGTCCCGTCAGTAATTGTGGCAAATAGTTTACTAAGCCCCTACGATCCTGAGTGAAGCAGAATGTGTGGCAAAGCCCATGGAATGACCAACGGCGAAACTTTCTTCCAGTACAACAGTTCCAACACACAATCTATAGCAAGTTAACTTACAAGCAGATGTAAAGTCGACTTGGTAGTCATTTTTCCCTTAGCATTTAAGTTTTTATAAGACAGGAACACCTAAGGGAGATCTTTCCGCCCAAAAACAGAAAACAGACGTCCCTTCGAGATGGACAACCTTTTAGCATGCCTAACACGAAACTTCATCCCGGCCTCAATCGATGATTCGCATGCAGGCGACTTAGCCAGGCGCTATACTTGTATAGTAAATTTGTTCTGGAACTCTAATCGGCCTTTATACAGCTGCGGAAAATAAACTTGGAACAAGCCACAGAATTGCGTTCCAAACAGTTCTGAAGCTCTTATTCAACAGCAAACAGTGGAAAGGTAAGCAGATAGCGGGAGTTCTACAAGTAAAACTATTCAGCACCCTGACTCTGATTTGCTTTTCAGCACTCTGACTCTGATTTGCTTACTTTTGGACTTAATTAGAGCCCAAGGAATCGACTCAACAGGAGCTGCAGGGGTACCCACGAATATCCCGGATAACTCCAAATTCCCTAAAATTAAAATTCCCTAAGAGAATTCCAAAGAGTTCTTGGCGGAGCCAGCGACTCTATAAAAATTATCAAAGCACGCCGCTGGGAATCCCCAGCGTAGGGGGTATTTGGTTGGTGTAGTGAGAGGGTCAAATTTGCTTCTGGGAAAAAAAATTCGATTGTTTACTTTTCTTGGTC